TGGCGAGAGACATCGTGTTCTAGATCAGAAGGGCAGAACTGAAGTTGAACATAATATACAAAATTCGACAACAGATATATTCTTACAGCGTTAGGCAGGGTACGTTGCATCAAAAGAAACTCTGTTTCGCTAGTAACTGAGAGAAGAAAATAAAATAAAACAAGAAAAATTAGGGCAAAAGTTTTTACCGTAGGGTGACCGACCTTGCGCAGTCTTCAGTATCGTAAGTGGAAGCTATGAACCAAAAACCGGTGAATCGGTCAATCATAATCACGCAAGCGAAGAATGACAACCCGGGAATTTCAAAAAACCCCGAAATAGCATAAAACCCTAGAATCTGCAGCGAAGAGAATGGAGAAACAAACAACGAAATAAAATGAACAGAATCATCAAATGTAAATGAAATTCGTACAGCTTCAACAGAAAACCCTAAAAAATTCAAAAATTAACCTAGAGTGAGTTGACGAGGCTGTGATCGAGGACGATGTAAGAGACGCGAACCTGTATGCAGAGAGCGCGGAGGCGTTATTACATTTCATTCTCTCTCTAGATCTCTCTCTCCTCATTTGTTCTCGGTAAGAATCAATGGCGAACGGTCGCCGCTCCTTGCTCTCTTCACTTTTTCTAGCAATCATGGAGAAACAATCAACGAAATGAAATTAACAGAATCATCAAAAGTAAAGGAGATTTAGTGAAGCTTTAACAGAAAACCCTAAAAAAAATCAAAAATTAACCTAGAGTGAGACGATGAGGCGGTGAATGACGACGATGTAAGAGAGGCGAACCTGTCTACAGCGAGAGTGGAGGCGGCGAGGCGCTATTACGTTTCCTTCTCTCTCTAGATCTCTCTCTCTCTCTCTTTCTCCTCCTTTCTTCTCGGTAAGAATCAATGGAGATCGGTCGCCGCTCCTTGCTTTCTTCACCTTTTCTAGCCAACCGCCCTTTTCATTTCTTCCGCCCCGAAAAATTATAATTATTGTATTTCGACCCCGTTTATTTTTTATATTTATACACAAGTGGGAGTGGATTTAAATTAGGGGCCTTAAGATATAGGTCCCTCGTGGCAAAATTTATTAGAACTAAATGACGAGTCCAACTAAACATTTGCTTCACATCCTTTCTAAAATTCATTCCGAAAATACCCCTCCACTCAGTATTAAGTAAATTCAAACTGTATTTATCATTTCTTTTTTGCATTTAATACTTTCATTTTTCCATATAATTTTTTTAATTATTTGTTTTACAGAATACTATTTTGTCTTCGTTTTTTTTCCTTTCTTCTTCAAAATTTTATACAATTTTATAAAAAAAAACTTTGTTTTCTATTTTTTTACGTAATATTGAAAATTACAAAAAAAACATGTTTTTTAATTCAACTTACATATTTTTTATTTTTTTATTTTATTTTCATTTTTCTTCTATCAATAAATATAGTCATCTGTAGTCACCTATAGTCATCGTAGTCGCCGCTATCTTCGCTTGTAGACATCTAAAACTTAAATTTCACTTCATCGCACATCATCTATATGTTCACAGTCTGTAGTAGACTGTGGTGTACTATGGTATGCTCTATATATTCACAGTCTATAGTAGACCATAGTATACTACGGTGTAATATGGTAAGTATACTATGGTTTACTACGGTGTCTATTCGAAACCCTAGCCGCCACCCTAGCAGTCAAAGCAACCTCCGCCCAAACCCTAGAAGCCAAAAGTCGCAGCCGTCGCAACCGCAGTCTCCTAACCCCTTTTGCAAAATCGAGATCTACAACAAATCGAAAACACTAACAAATCATATCCAAATGAAGAAAAAACTTTTAAAAAATCAAGAAAATCAAATCCAATTAGTCATAATATACTTGCAATTACAGATCTTTACAAAAAAATGAAGAAAATCGATTTGTTTATCTATTTTCATTACGAAATCATTATATAAAAAAAAATGGAGAATACCTGCTCCCTTCGCCGCGCAATCCCCACTGCACAACCCCGCCGCACAACCCTTTGAAACCAGCATCTTCTCCATCGAGCCTAGCAGGACCTGCACCTGCTGTTGCTCCTTTGTGGCTGCCGCCGGCGGCCTTCATGGAGAGAGAGAGACCGACGACCTTCATAGAGAGAGAGAGAGAGAGAGAGAGAGAGAGAGAGAGAGAGAGAGAGAGAGAGAGAGAGAGAGAGAGAGAGTTGGAGGGGATGGAGGAAAAACGAGAAAGTCAGAATATGTAGGGGGTGGTTGAGCGGCGTGAGATACAGGGGAGGGAATAGAGAGAAAAGTGATTTATTAGGTATTGTAAGGGTATTTTGGGGTTAAATAAAAAACAAAGGATATGTATCAAATTTTATTTTAAAATAAGGGTGTAGTTAAAATGTTTTATTTGAGATTGTCACTCATATCTAATTAGGTTTGGTTTGAGGGGTGTGAAGCATATTACCCCTTTAAATTATTATTGGCCATATAATGAGGAAAATATATATTATTTATTGTCGTACGTCGTCCTTGTGATGTCAAATTTATCTAACGATGTTTATCCAGTTGCTACACCGACGAACCGAAAGAAAATCGGATACGTGCCAATTATCAAACTAG